TAATATAGTGTTCGGGGGTCGACTCTGGACAATGCGGTGGGCGTGAATGTATCCTCAGCAGACAAAAGGTTTGAGAACAGCACATATCTACGTTATGCTACCACTCCACAGAGCTTACCACAAGTACGCAGGTGAAGAAGTATGTCAAGGAATCGCAGCCATTTCAAAACTTTAGAAGCTTACTTTGCATTTTAAACCACTGATACTACGACTATGACTCTCGCACATTCACTCGGTTGTAAACAAAACATCGTAAGACCACGTTTACGCACACTGTGGAACTTAAAGGCACAACAGACCGAAGTCGTGAGAACCATTTCCTTCGATGCGTAGGATAGACTCTAGAGGACAACCACAGATGTGGCATACCCGTGCACGGAAATCACCCGCATCTCCACGCTAATTTTCAATCATGTGTACTATTTAATGTTTAGCTTTCGAGTGTCGTGCCTTTCACACGATGGTGATGTTCAGATCCAAAGGTCGATGGAAGTTCGGAAGACCGAGGGGGCCTCCATACTGCGTTTTGCGCCATTATGTCTGGGTTTGCTTCATTGAAAACGGGGTACGCATCTGATAAATAGTAAAAGGATAAAGCATTTGCCGTTGATCAATCCCTTTTTGGGATGCGGCACGCATTCTACTTCCATTTGTACATTCGTAGTGGCGTTTGAATGCGATGTGGCCTATACAATGACTTGCGGGGGCCAGCCGATGTACAAGTCAGTGTTTTTATCCTCCCAGACAAGTCTGGTACCAATTAACCGACCCCGGAGGGATGGAAGGCTTGGTTGGCCCGCGGTTTACGGACTACTTGACTTTCGTCCATGGTCCTGCCACGAATGGCGGAGAGCACAGACGATCAGAGAACGGCGCCTGGCTCGGCTCCAAATCCCAAGGAGGGAGGTGAGAGCCCTAGGACTAAGCCTTGTAGGGGGAGGGACTCCGAGGTGGGTGAGCCAACTACAGTGTGGCAAAAGTTTGAATGTGTGAGATCACAGTGGTCATGAGCCGCTGATAAGGTGAGAGAGCGCAGACGAAAGCGTCGAGTGAGGCAGCTTAAAGGGCCGAGTTCAAGTAGTCCGTCGACCGTGACTCACGACCCAGGACTTGAGCACCCCGGACCGCTCGCCTGGTGAGCGCGCCACTTACCACTACACCACTTCCGCCCGCGCATCTGATGAAATGTGTTAAAGGAATCCCTCACGGAAAAACCATGACTCTATTCAAGCCATAAGTCGTCAGCTTGAAACTCATTATCCACATTAGAATGAAAAGAACAGAAATATTTTTGAAAATCGAAAGGGCTGCTACGCGTTCAAAGTGCCCACGGACGTCTTTCACAAATGCTGGCGACGGGGATGCTTCCACTTGGTTCTTGGAGTGCCTTCACTAGAAACTCTTTCTGGCCTTCTGCTTTATTGCATTCACATCTTACACTTCTACTCCATCCTATTCTATCGATCGATTTGTCTCTACTCTCCGAAATCGCGCGCTTTAACCCGATTCTTTCATTGCGTCGCCTGATACGTAGCCGGCCAAAGGCCAACTTCTTTCCATGCCTCGCCTTTGGCTCTTACCTTCGATGTCCATAACGTGTAGTTTTTGTACGTTTGTTTCTCTTCGGAAACCGAATCTTCATGCGTGAAACTTTGTGTGCTGTTTCCAGTGATCACAACTGACACATTCATGTCAAGAAAGAATGCAAGAATTTTCCGCGAAGGATTCCTTTAAGCATGGCTTTTGGCTGAAAATTTGTCCTCTTGATGGGTGCATCCCTAGGGATACAATAAAACATCCCAATTTTACGCCCTCAACAAAGCAGTATGTATGTAGATCGTATCAACATAACACTTAAAATTATAGTGATATTTAGCTTTCTAGTTCTAGCCTCCGAAGTTGGGTACAGTATTTTCTTGTTGCTGACGTTTCGGCAAAATAGCCTTGCCTCGATAAGCCTGGAGAAAGTGAACATATAAGTGGGACACAAGATCGGAATACTCTTCAAATTACAGGGAAAAAAAGCTCCAGGGTTAGAAATCAATTGTCTGAAGTTATGCCCTTTTTGGCTTACGAGCCCTGCATAAGAAGTAGCCTTCTGTGATCTCTCTGGGCCGAAGGAGGAGGAAACTTTGTTGGATATAGGGAGAGACGATAACACAAAGCTTCCCTTGGTTGATGTACCATTCATTGGTGGTTATTAAATGGGTATTGTCAGCACCGAATCGGAGGGGATTTGTTAGAGACTTTCCTGTAACATCGCTTTTCAGCTGACATTACGCTGTTGGAATGTCCGCCTGACAAGAAAATAGAGATATAGTTATGGTCAATTCCATGCGCCTCGGGATTTTTTTCTCCTTCTTCCCCCATAAACCCTCGAAGAAACGCTGGGAGAAGGGAAGGATTGGAGGTGCTTGAGGTTTCTCAAAAATTGGGCCTCGTTTGAGCCTTTGAGGAAGACTATCTCGACGAAACGTCAGGCCACTTTTAAAGTCTCTATCCAAAAACCTCGTTTGCAGAAGCGGGATACTAAGAGTAATACAACACCCGTCTAACCACTTCATAGTCTCTCTTCAGAAAGATACACACTCGATGTTCTTTCCAGCATATTCACAGCGAACGTCTATGCTGACGAGGAACTGCCCGAGAGTCAGACGATAAGGTGCTCGCTCCGCTGCGTGGCATTACACCATCGACCGAAGGGGGGGGGTGGGGATCAATCTCGATGGGTGTGCGTGGCTTGATGGGGGTGTGCCGATGGCTTGCCGATGCTTCCTGCCTGTCAGACTCGAAAAACGATTTTTTACTGTCGTTGCATGCCCATAACCATCCAAGCTTATCACACTGACCATTTAAGGGCGCAACGTTTTTGGCTGTTGTCGCCGAAATTGTACTGTGACGTCAATGTGTCAACGCAAGCTTCGCCTTTGCTCCAGTTCCGCTCCTTTTTTGCTGTGCTTGTAATTTAGGACACCTTCAGATGAGCCTCAGGATCCCTAACGACTTCCGTGAGCTATTTTTCCTGTACTTTCTAAAGTACGAGAAGATATTCTTTCTGGATCTGCTCGAATACTTGCAGAATTTTTTAAGTTCAATTTTATCAGCATTCTACCATGACTGCTTTTTTTGATGTGCAACGCTTTATACTTATCAGTTCAAGCATGCTCTGCTTCAGAAAACCAGAAAAGTGTCGAGTGCAGACCACGCACCACAAGTGACGACAACCTCTACAAAATGTATATGTTTTCTGCTAATGAAATGTTTGGTCTCAGGACATCTGTCAACCGTGAGCCTTGGCGGTTCAGCGTTTTGTAGTGATGTCTGGGAGCTCTCACAAGTGCACACTATCACAGCATCTCCTCTTTCTTTATCTTCTTCAAAAGGCTTAGTCCCAATAAGACACAAAGTGTGTGCTTTTCCAGCTACGCTCTCACCCTTTGGTTGACAGAAGCCTTGTAACCGAAATGTTCAGCCCTTGCAGTTGTATTCTTTCAGCTGTCACTGATCACAGCCCTATTTACCATCTATCAGCTATCACTGTGAACCACTACTTACAAGATTTACTCGGAGGCCGTCGTCACTTGTGGTGTGTGTTCTGCACCTGACGCTCTTCTGGTTTTCTGAAGCAGAGGGTAATTTCACCGGTCGCCATGCCCATTTTTCTCTAATATTGCGAGTTCAACATGAACTGCTTGACAAGTTGTTTTTTTTTAGGATGAGCCCGTCAACGACGCATGTCGCCAACGCGAGTGACGTCCCAATTTGGGTGAGTCACTTTTTGTACAGGGCTAGAGCACCAAGTTCACACTCGTCCCCCGAACGGAGTCAAAGCCTTCTTTCGCACTACATATGCGAACAAGGGGTCGCTTCGCGGTTGCGGGGGGTGGTGTTTGAGGTTCAGCTAGGTCAACCAGTCTTTGATGTTTTTTGACAATTTTGGTGGGAAGTTCACGACGTGCGTGAAATAGGACAAAGCGATGAAAGAGAATTTACTGCTCAGTTAGACCAACTTAACCCCTCTCCCACTATTCCCACCCCTTTTTTCGGCTGAGTTAGATGGTATCGCAAGTTCACTTGATCTCAGAAGCGTACGCATAAAAACACGTCATTGGATGGCAAGGGTTAGCGGTCGGAGGTGGGTGGGGGGGAGGGAGAGGGAAAGCTGCGTTTGGGAGCCTCTCAAGAACGTTGATAGTGGTGGGGGTTACAAATTTCCGGGAAAAAGCACGGCGGCTGACCTACACCCCAGCCCCGAACTCGCAACACAGTCTCTTCAACTTTTCAGGCAAGAGTGATTGACGATGGGAAGAAAATCATCGACAATGTGGTGATTAGGACTCCGGGAAATGTGGAAATCCGAATGGGAACAGCCAGTGCTTTTGCTGCAGAACACGGTAATTCTCTAGAACACATGTAACGTGCAGGCTTGTGAGCAGTAGGCTTCACAGCTTCAGAGATTCTGACTCGAACACGGGGTAAGGATTTGAAGAGGGTTCCTGAAAGGCACCGACAAGTAACCACGGTTCGAGCGATTGAAGTACCGGGTATTCAACTAACAGAATATATCTGCTGATTAACATTTTTAACTTATTTTTAGTTCACACTTTAATGAAAATAGTGCAGGATGTGAATATTTCAGGATTCACCAAGATCAGCCCTCGAGTGGCAACTCCGTTCTTCGCTGGCGATCGCATGTTGTGGTTGTTCAGGACGAAGGTCTATGTCAGTGCGTACTATGTGTGAAGTTTGCTGCTGTGTATTGGTGGAGCAACTCCTCACAGGGCCAAAAGAGGAAATGAGATTCAGGATGAATTCCTGATCCGTTTCACCGTTCAATCGTTGCCTTTCTCAGCGGTATAACAGACTCAGAATTTGGTCCAGGCTCCGTCCCTCCATGCCTCCCCTTTGGCTCCGCCCCCTTTACCTTCGATTGTCCATAGAGTGTAGTTTTTGTACGTTTGTTTCTCTTCGGAAACCGAATCTTCATGCGTGAAACTTTGTGTGCTGTTTCCAGTGATCACAACTGACACATTCATGTTGAGAAAGAATGCAAGAATTTTCCGCGAAGGATTCCTTTAACCTTCACATAAAAAATACATCACTTGTGTGGCCTTAGGTTAATTCAGCTTTTTGATATAATTTCGCGTAAAATTTAAATTTTGATGGGTGACAATTTCCTTTGATGAGATTCGTTGAATCCTACGGGAAGCTGTCAGTTATCAAGAAATTGTTCTGTTAGAGCAGAGAACTCCATGAAGTCGCAGTTTTAACCTATGGGCCGCCCTCCACGCACCCCTCTTTGGTGAACCCTCGCTTACCCCCATTTAGAGGATTCCTAATGACATGGTCTATCCCATGCTATGTTTACCAGTGTTTTTCTGCCCTTTTTTCGACATTTCCCACTCGTCATTAATCTATGAGTTTTGGCCGCCGTTGAGTTGTAAATCTAAAGGATTTGGGAGGATTTCCAAGGCTATCACAATTTTTTTTCTGTCATACGGAATGCGATCCTGATTTCAGTGATCCCGTGAATGGAGCCATCTGTGACATATGCTCCGCTCATCCACTGCCAGCCAACTACAGTGTGATCACTGCCAAGGATATGACACTTCGAGCCACAGAGATGGGTGAGCTGTGGAAGGACACCGCCGGAAATTGGCACTGATTTCTGAATAAAAACATGAGATCGCATGAGATCGCTCGCTTTTTCTATAAAGCGCAGTTGGAGTGACACACTGCACTGGTTATAAGCGGGCCGTAGTCGTGATGTTGCTTTCAGAACTCGTGAGATGAAGTGTCGTCCTCGTCAACAATGCTTTCTATCCACCTGAAGTCGGCTAGCAGGTGTTACTACCTACGGAAAA